GCTGTTCGTGTCCCCGCCCCCCACCCACCCACCCCCGGTATATAGGCAACAGGTTTGCCCCCTTGCCATTTTGGGAAAATGTCCTACTGATAACTCCCGGAGATAATAGGTGCTATAATTTGTTCTTTCCTACCAAAAGCCTGAGAGCCCAAATTCCAAATTTTGATATAAAGCCATGATGAGAATCAAGAAGCTACAACAAGGAGATTGGACCCAGGAGTGCAACAGGGCTACATTCCTAGGTTGCTAACTTTTGCTTTTCCGGTTGTTTTTTCTCTTCCTCATGCCCTTTCTTATTAAGCCGCTGTTTCCCTACAGGGGTGAACTCTGGAGAGGGGCTGCAGGGAGGTCTTTTATTTCTTTCTGTTTCCGTTCCTTTTCCAGCCACCTCCGCATGTGTCTCTTTGCCAGGGAAATGTCAGCAACCAGCAGGGAGAGGAATTGGTGATATACACTTCCTCCTCCCCATTTCCCAGAGCTGGGAAAAGAGTCAAGGACTTTACAGTGCACCCCCCCCCCACCAAAAACCCACAAGTACCACTATTCTAATCAATTTGGCCCCTCTTTCAGCAAATCTAGGAATTCTGCCTCCCAGTGTCTCTGTGCTAGGCCAGATATCCATACCCTCTGCCCCCCCAAACATGGAGCAGAACTGATACACCACAACGGTGTTTACTTCTTGTGATGTGCCCCTACTTATCTGCTGACAAAATAACCTAAAAGATTTTTTTTTTCCTTCTGGCCACTAGGTTAGGGCTACCTGATCTGGGCCGCAAACATCCAGGCATCCACTAGACAGCAGCAAAGAGATAGGAAAAGGTGTAACTTGGCTGTTGTCTATTGGTTGTGTGGACTTATGCAGCCCAGATTTGGTGGCCCTGATATATTGGACAGGCTCCCTCTGCATGCCATTGCTGCTTGCTCAATGGCTGCGATTGGCTGATCCGTGAATTGCTGATTGCTGCTCGCCATTTCCATGGCATCCTTGCCTCAGTTTTATCACCACCACTCAGTGCTTCCCGTCTGGTATGCTTTGATGAATCCCACTGCTTTCCTTCCCCTCCATGCCTGCTTTGCACCCTTACCTCCACCCTTTCTCTGTCAGCTCTTTTGTGTTGCGCTGTGTGCTTCTGTAAAGCCTCTTTGCTTTCCCTTACTACCCGCTTTCCCCACCTCTTTGACTCCCATCCGGCATTGTCTCTCTTTTTATCTGCTTTTCTTGTCCAGCCTTTGCTTGTTAACTGCTTCACTCACTTTCCTCTTTCTGTGTTCCTCACGTTAACTGCATTTCTGTTCTTCTCATCTGTCTTCATTAGTCCACCTCCCTCCTCAGCTGTTCTGTTTCGCCATCCTTCCCCACATCTAATTTCCACAATGTCTTTCCTCAAGCCTCACTATACACTTTTCCATCCTTCTACCAATTATTCTCTCCCTTTTCTCTGCTCTTTCTCTTCTGCTCATCCTTCATATCATTTCTTCATTCTTTAACTGCCCCCTTTTCCAGAGTCCTCCATTTATCTTCCTTCCATCTTCCATCTTCGAGCACACCAGCAAGTATGACTGACAGGGAAGCATGCTGGTAGCCAAAGTGGAAGGCCATGTATTTTACTCCAACTTTCTTTAAATACATGTTTCCCCTCTTTAATCATCCTTCCAACTTCTTTATCACCTCCCCCTCTGCATAGCTTTTCTTTATCCAAGCTTCTATCGTCTGTGCCTTTAGGTCTCCAACTTGTACCGGACATTCCTTTGGCTTTCCATCTGTTTCTGGTCTTCTATCATCTTAGTCCAACCCCACCCACACCCACCCCTCTATTTTTCTCTCCAAACTCTCATCCTTCCTTGCTCTGACTTCCATCTCTTTACCTCCCAATCCCCATTCTTGTCTTTCTATTATTCGTTCTCCACGTATTTCCAGAACACTCCAGACATCTCTCTTCCTTCATCATTCCTTGTTGCCTCCTGTCGGTCCACTTCCCCTTTTCTGGTTCACACTTAACCCGGCTGCTGAATTTCCATTTCACAGGATACTTTGAATCATTAGCTAAGTGGGCTGCATTCACATGACCCCAACCCCCTGCCCCTGCCCCCAGTAATAACGTTTAACCAAACTTAGCCTGCTGGGCAGTCCCAGCTATTAGTTCTTGAATGGATTTGGCTGGGTGAACCTGGCCCATCTGCCTAACCCATTCCTTTTGCTTCTTCCAGTTCTCCATCACTTCTTTTGGTTTGTTTTTTTTTTAAACTGATCTCATCCCTGTTCCCTGTTCGCTCAGGTCTGTCTCGCCTGGGTTCTTATCTTAGTCCTCTTTCCTATCGCTCCTCGGCTCCATTTCTCCCTTGCCTTCTCCATCATCTCTGCCCTTTCTCGCCACTTCTCATCCATTTGCGCTTTACGCTTCTCCCATCATCACAGATGGTCTCCTAACCGACTTTTCTTCCTCTCCCTCTCTAGCATTCACCTGCCCTTTTCTTAGCGCCCTTTTTGCCTTTCTCCACCAGCCCCTAGTGGTCTCCGCATCCCCTCCCTCTCCTTTCTTCTCCATCATCTCCGCTTTCCTTTGCCGCCTCGCTCGCCCGCTCGCTCGCCCGTCCGCCGCCCCTGCGACGAGGCGGTGCGGTGGGCTTATTGCAATTCCCCCCGCGCCCTGGACGGCGGCGTTCCGCGCCGGCTCCGCGGTGACATCAGCCCCCGCGCCCTCCCCTCCCCT